GAAGTATTTGCTAGTCTAGTACTGAAGAAATTAGCGTTTGGATGCGCATTGTGCGGCTTTAATATGCATACGCGTTCTTGGTGTATATATATCTACAACAATCGACACAGAAATGCGAAGCGGATCTTCTATACAGAGAAGGAGAAAGCGAGCCTACGTTGATTACCTCTCATATACAGACACCTGTGTTCGCACCTGAGCTACCTGCAGCTACGTAACTTTGCTCAGCATCACCTTATATATATAGGCGTCGCCGCGAGACATCCCGTTGTATTCAATCACAGGTGCATAATTACTCAGGCAAGTACACGAACAATTCGTTACCGTAGATATGCAACCTTAACCAATGTACATTGCAGTAAAACACATCTGTCTTAATTTATCTGAATGTAATCTTCTCGTCGTGATGCAATACGAAATTATTTCTACGGGTTTCTAACGCGTTTGAGCCGCATCCATTGTTTGGTCCCCACGGGCATGTCAATAACGTAACGGCTGCGTAGATTATATGATATTCTACTCACACCACAACGGCCGCGTGGCGCATGCACATTATGCCACAGACTCCTTCACACTGTGGCCTGCACAACGGCCACAGACTCGTTCAACAATTCTATCTAGAGTATAGATCGACACACGTACGTCGTGCGTTATTAATGAATTCATTCGCACACTAACTCCCACCCACAGGTGTTCCGTAACGCGCCAGCGCTATGCTACCAGCACACAGTGGTCGGGTGAGGTGGTCACTCGTGTTGTCGTTGGCGTTGGTTTGTACGGTCGCACGGCGGTGCGCCAGCGCTGTCAGCCTTGACCCGCCTGCAGAAATGACGAGTCTGACGCAGCATCTACACTCAAACTTCACAGCCGAGCTGCTACGCATGAAGAGAGACGGTTTAGGGGTGATCGCTATGCAGGTATGTGTTGCTACGCACATGCATTGATGATGAGGGGGAGATGCGATTATGCAATGTACGGTCCTACTCACGTGAAGTATTCACAACCCGCATAATCACGTGTGGAAGGTCGCTGCTTACATCAAAATTAGATTAGCTAGAACTAGTGTTAAAAACAATTTTGGTAAAACTAGTGGTCCGCGTCAGTGAATTAATGTTTTTCGCATGTATATATAATGCAGGTGCATTTTCACATAGCGAAAAAGATGTCAAGAGCAGCGCCATTATTTGCTGACAGCGACTGAAAATTCTGGCATCCTTCCAAATAAAAATTCCGGTTATGTAAAATCCATATTTATATCTATATCCATATTTACGTCAGAGAGAAGTGTCGCTTCTTGCTGTCAAACGCTTCTGAACCGCCAGTCGATCCCCTAGATTTTTTTTTAAATTTTAAATTTTTTTTTATTTAGGCAATTATCCATCATATACAATCAAGAGCTAATAATACATAGAGTGTACAACGGAAAAACGGGAAATGAGTGCTATTTCACGACATGATTATTCTACTTTGCCTGCGAGTCTAGAATAATTTGATGGTATAGCATTAAATGGACAGTAGCCTCTAGAATTTCACTGCATACAACTGTACTCACTGTATAACAAATCGTCTATACCCACACGTATTTGTTACCAAATACCTAATTTAATTGTTATAATTATTTACACATCAACGCTACGAAATTTGAACGGCGCCATGACACCCGCGACCGTGCTGCCACCCCGAAAAAGTTGCGTATTTGACAATTTATTTTGCATATGTTACAGACCGAGGGCTAATCACAAAAGTGCAATTATATTTATACCTAAATGCTATTTAACCGAACGATATTCATTTTAGGGCAAATTTATCCATATTATAACGGAAACTATATGTCGTTTATAAGATATTACAATCCTTTTGCTTTTAATGAATAAATAAGAAACACCCTCGGTCTGTAGCCCTTGGTTGGAAAGTGGTTTTGCGCAACTTATCAGATCGTGCGCTTTGAGTGGCGCCACCGTCGTTGTAATCAAACTGTAGTCGTTAGTTTTAAAACAATTTTTAATAATATTTCTAATCGTGATTGAACCATGAAACTTTTATGTAGCGTAATTATAACCTAAATTAGAACCTGAAAATAACCCTAAAACTTAGAGTAAACTCTCCCTTTAAGCAGAATTCTTTGTTCTCTAAAACAAGACCAACCGCTTGTTAATACGATACTCCTAGGCTGAGATATTGGCGCTCGTAAACCTCCCCTCCCACAGGCCTCACGGCGCCTCGAATCCACATCAGTCACCATCCTACTCGCCCCTAATGCTAGCGGGCACACGAGCGATTTTTATCGCCGATCGCGGCGATTAAATTGCCAGCGAATTTAATCGCCCGATCACGAGGGGCACACGTAGCGAATTTAATCCGCCGATCACGAAGGGGCACACGTAAGCGAATTGAGAGCGTATACGCGTACGCCACTCGACAGAATTTTCCATCGATCATGTGATCGTACAAATTGGCGAACCGCCGAAAAAAGGTTGTTGCTGTTGTTAGTGCTGTTTATTTGCTTCTAAAAAGAAACAAAATACGGAGAAGGGCTCGTTGGGCGAATCGAAATTCGTGGTCCAGGAGTTGGATAATGCGCCGAAGGTAAGAGGGTCTACTCGAATTTAGTAAAAGAACTGGAAACATTTATTGCAAGTCTCAGCGCTATCTCTGTAATAGCGACCTCTTCGCTACACGACCGGTATTCAGGGATCGAAATGTCAAAAAGGCATGGCCTTTCCGACACAGAAATACCAATTCGCCTTCCTTCCCACACTTCTACAGTATTGGAGGCAGCCATTTTAACATCACAATGAAATCAACAAAACGTCCGATTGGTTTAGAAAATCGATCGGGCGACAAAATACGCCGGTCACAGGCACACGAGCGATAATAATCGCCCGGCGTAAATAATCGCCCAAAAATATCTAACATTTTGGATACGGGCGATTCGGTCGGGCGATTAAAATCGGCGTCGACGTGAACGGGCACACGGGCGAATTTTTCGAGCGAGTTTGGAATTCGCGGCGATCGGGCGATAAAATCGCTCGTGTGCCCCTACCATAAGCTTTTGGCTATCGGTTTCCGCCACCGCTTGGAGCGCTGATAATTGATGTCACATGCCCAAATTTGGTACTCTTACTACACCATATAGTAACTGAGCGCGTTGTAGAGACTAATTTAGAAAACATTGCCGGCTCCATCATGACGGGCATTGGCCGTGCTAGGAAAGATAATGGGAGATAAGGGCATAGGCGATGCTCCGAAGTCACCTATGATAAAACGAAACGCCGTTATTCATAAAGTTATCGCGGAAAAAACCGAACTCTCACGAAGCAACCTTGGCGGCGAGAAGGATGGTGACTGATGTGGATTCGAGGCGCAGTGAGGCCTGTGGGAGGGGAAGTTACGAGCCAATATCTCAGCCTAAGAGGATCGTATTGACAAGCGGTTGGTCTTGTTTAGAGAGCAAAATTCTGCTTAATGCAATACCATAAAATTATTTTAGACTCGCAGGCAAAGTAGAATAATTATGTCGTAAAATAGCACTATTTTCCTGTTTTTCGTTGTACACTCTAGGTATTATTAGCTCTTGATACAATACATAGCATACTTTTACAATAAAATTCTGAATTCATCAAATTGGATAACTACCAAGATGAACACGCTAAAACGTAAACGTAATAGCGGCTAAGCTAGGTTGTGCTTTCTTTATATATCATAACACCACAGTATTGCAACCCTCCCAAAGACGACATACTTGGAAAATACTATGTATCCGTATATTTATCGCTCTTCTATTCCCATATATGTTAATATTGTTCTAAATTAAATTGTATACAATTATGGAAGTTTGTTTGAGCGTGTACATCTCT